TAAATAACTATATATGTATGTACATATATAATTATTGAATGAATTTCTTTTATTTAAGATATAAGTCCTGTCAAGGGCTTCTCCAAAATACTAAAGAGCAATAATGTCAGCTTAAAGATGTAGGTGCTCTTGATTCAAACTGTATCATTTTCAATTTTTTTCTATGCATCAGAAAGTTGGAAAATGAATAAGGATGACAGAAGATGAATTGATGCCTTTGAAGTATGGTGTTGATGAAGAGGTTCTAATATCCCATGGTCTGCCGAAAGAAAAAACAAGTCTGTCTTGGAGGAAATGCAACCAACAGGCTCCTTAGAGGAAAAGATGGTGAAATGCCATCTCTTATACTTTGGGCATGTTATTAGAAGGGGCCAGTCCTTGGAAAAAGACATCATGCTGGTGGATGAAATGATATAGTGTCAGTAAAAAATGGGCTCAAGTATGTTAGAAACTGTTAGAACGGTGCATTACGGGGCAAGGTTCAGATCTATTATTCATAAGGTAGCTCTGAGTTGTAGTCAACTCAACGTCACACAACAACCTATTATCTCCCATTTCTCCTCCCCCATTTCTCTAGCCACAGCTTTATTTTCCAAGTATTTCATGTGCTAAGAAATTCATTTTGAGGGAAAAGGATTTTCAAATGATTGAGGTGGAAAAATGGCTGAAGTCATGAAACAAAGGACAACATTCATATAGTAATTCATATTAAGGACATGGCTTGGAAAGAGACAACTTGAGAGCACCTTAGCTTCTCTGACCAAACTTCTATAATGGCAGTTCACCAGGACATTCCATTGCTTAAAGGTGGACAATCTCCTCCCGTGTGATATACTGCCTCTGAAAACCCACTGGAGGGTCAGTTATGGGTCAGTTCCAACTTGATAGTACTCAACACAACATCTCTTCTTACAAGCATTTTCCATGGTGTGGTCCTCTGTATTGTAGAAGTATCCCAGTTCTTTCTGTCATCTCAATATGAGGGCTAACATATTTAAGTGAAACTCAGGGAGACAGGTTGTTGTTGTTGATTGCATGACTCGTAGCGACCATATGAACAAAAGGCATGAAACCTTTCTATACCTATTGTCATTTCTCTAAGTTCATAGAGTTTCCAGAAGCATGTTGTAGATGCCAGGAAATAGATGCCACTCTTGCTTCCAAACTTGTCTTAAACTGGGAGCTCCACCAAACACTGTCAACCATGGGTAACTGTTATAGCATTTGACATCCCAATGGCATAGGGTTCAGTATTACAGCAACGCCAGGTTACCTCGATACAGCAAACTGACAAACCAGCGCCGTACCACTTAGAAGAATGTTCCTCCAAAGCATAATAAATAACACTAGGCCCGAGGGCCCAACTGACTTTTAAATACCCAAACCAAAATTCTCTGGAGATGTACAAACAGGTGTCTTTAGCCCTGTAGGATCCTCCCAAGTGCCTCTCACCTCGGGATCTTCTTCTCCAGACCAGGACACCAACTCCAGCCACGATAATGGCAAGGAAAATGGACCCAGAAAGGCCTTTCATCACCAGAAGGATAGTTTCTGATGCTGAAAAAAATTTAATAAAAACAATAAGAATAAATCTACATTTCTCTCCTTCTTTCATGGTAACTTTCAGGAGCTTGTGTTCCTGTGACCTCAAGGAAATCCAATACTACTTTTCTTACTGTGACTTCACATCTCCTGAGAAGGACAACAGTGGATTTCAAAGTGCAGTCCAAAGACCCTAAGGAGTCCCTGAGATTCCTTCAGCGGATCAATGAAGTCTAAGGCATGACTTGCCTCTTGAGATTTCAACCTCTCATGTGTGTAAAATGGAGTTTTCTGGAGGCAACACAGCTTGGGAACATCATCATCACTCTGAAGATTAATGGAATGTTAGTAATACTTGTGTCTTTTGTGCTTTAAGAAGTTCACAATTTAAAATTTATATCATGATAAATAGCAACACAACACAACACACACATCCCATATGGGCAAAAATTCGTCTTGGTCTTCAATACTTTTTAAGAGTATAAAGAATCCTGACACCAAACAGTGTGACACCTACAGACTTAATCCCCCATTCTGCAGCCAGCTGTGTGAGGGCAGGGATCCTTGCTCTCTTTCCTTGACCTGAAGCCGTGGCTCCTGCCCACCTCTTTTCCTCACTCTCATCCCCCTGATGCAGCACCACACTCTCCGTCCTTACTTTGGGGAACCTGAAGGACCATGCGGAGGTCACAGTGCTCCACGTGACAAGAGTAAGCCTCGCTGCTCAGAGAGTCCATTTCCACTGAAATCCATGTCTGATAGGTTCCATCTCCACTGGGAAGGATGTCTCCATAATACGTTTCTTGCGTTATTTCTTCCCCATTTTTCATCCAGATCATAGAAATCTCTGGGGGGTAGAAACCATGAGCTCTGCAGGTAAGAGTTGCAATCCCTGGAGACGTTTCTTTGCGCTTTATTCTGACCTGTGGAGGCTCTGAAAAGAAGAAGCTTGAGTTTAATAATCTTATGTAATGAGCATCCAATATTAGAACTTAGGAGCTGTTCTTCAACTGCAGGAACATCTAACACTAGGCTTATCAACCAGGCTTATCAACAAGAAACTCATTTTTTCCTAGGGCTTTGTACTTGGGAATGAAGAAAGTGCAGTTAAGCTATGCTCTGTCCTTTATGAGGGCAAAACAGCCTATATCTACCACTATTGAGTTTATTCTAACTAATGGGGGCCTCCCACTGGGTTTGATCTCAAGTCTATCCCACCAGAATTTAAAAAAGCATCTTAAGAATAGGCTTGAAGCATTGCACACCAATGATAGTAGACCAGGTGAGTTGTGGGAGGAGATTAAGGACATCATGCATGAAGAGAGCAAAGGGTCACTAAAAAGACAGAGGAGAAAGAAAAAAAAAACCCCAAACAACAAAACCCAAAATAGATGTCAGTAGAAACCCTGAACATTGCCCACTGGAGGATCAAGAAGCCGTAACAGGTAAAACCCAAAATGGAAAGTGGCCTGATGCTTTCTCAAAAAGTCAGAAATAGAAACACCATTTGACCCAGCAATTCCACTACCAGAAATATACACTAAGGAAACCAGAGCCACAACTCAAATAGATGTGTGCATACCCATGTTTATTGCGGTGTTATTCACAATAGCAAAGAGTTGGAAGAAACCCAAGTGCCCATAAACAAATGAGTGAATAGTAAAACTATGGTATATTTATACAATGGAATATTATGAAACATTGAAAAACAATGAAATACTAAAACATTACACAACATGGGGGAGCCTTGAGAACATTATGTTAAGTGGGATGTCTCAGTCACAGAAGGACAAAAACTGCATAACACCTCTGTTATAAAATAGGACAGACTAGGGAGTTTGGAGCAGGAATGAGGGGGGAAAGAGTGAATAGATAATGAACACTGCATTAGAACAGACGAGGGGAAGAACTATCTGAAAGGAATATATGATTATGCATTATGTGTACGAGAACAATCTAATATAAATTAGAAAGTGTAGCTTGGGAAGACAAAGCAAACTACTGTAAAGGAATTGCAGAAAATTGGAGAATAAAAAGGCAAGAACTTGCTCAGTATTTCTCAAGCTGAAGGAATAAAAAACCAAATTTAAGACTTGGGTTACATTTTTCAGGCATTCTATGGGCAAAATCTTGAATGATCCAAGAAAGAGCAAAAAAAAAAAAAATGAAGGAAATACGCAGAGTCACTGTACCAAAAAGAATTGGCCAACACTGAAATATTTCAAAAGTACCATATGATCAAGGGGCAGTGATAAGGAAAGAAGTTCAACCTGCACTAAAGACATTAGCAAAAAATAAGGCAACAGGAATAGATGTGATACCAATTAAAATGCTTCAAATGACAGATGCAACCCTGGACTTGCTCACCAGTCTATGCCAGGGTATTTGGAGGTCAGTTGCCTGGCCGACTGACTGAAAGAGATCAATGTTTGCTTCCATTCCCAAGAAGGGTGATCCAACAGAATGTGAAAATTATCCAACAATATTATTAATATCATATGTAAGCAAAATACTGTTGAGACTCAATTAGAAAACAATTAGAGGATGTGAGGGTGATCTGGCTGCAACATCTGTCACCCCATTGATCACCAGGGTTGATTCGACTGGGTAGGCAGGTATCCCCTTCCTCCCTCACCAATATATGTGCATCCCTCCCAAAGCGGCACGCTTGGTTGAAGAGGATGACCATCCCTGATAGAAGGAAGACTGTCATTCAGTTAAGGGTATATGAGTAGCTGCACTCCCCTGCTAGAACCTCCAAACAAGCTCTCAAAAAAACAGAACAGTACCAAAAAAACAAACAAACAAAAAACAAAACAAAACAAAAAGACAGAACACTACCTTGACAGGGAACAGCCAGAATAGCAAGCTGGATTTAGAAGAGACCATGACACCAGCTATATCATTGCTGATGTCAAATGAATCCTTATTGAAAGCCAAAAACGCTTTGTATGTCTATTTGAATGTCTACTTGTACTTTATATGTAAATGTGTTTGGCTGTGTGGCTCAAAACAAATTATGGTTAACATTGAGAAGACAAGGAATTCCAGAACACTTGGTTGTGTTGTGTGTAAACTATACCTAGACCAAGAGGCTGTGATGCAAACAAAGCAAGAGAATACTGCGTGGTTTAAATGAGGATAAGAGTGCATCAGGGTTGTATCCATTTTCTATATCTATTTAATCTATATGTTGAGCAAATTATTTGAGAAATAATTTTTTCTATGAAGAAATATGTGGCATTAGGATTGAAGAAAGAATCATCAATAAGCTTTATTATCCAGATGGCACAACCTTGCTTGCTAAAAGAGAGGAGGACTTGAAGCATTAGCTGCAGAAGGTTAAACATGCCAGCCTTCAATATGGATTGCATCTCAACATCAAGAAAAGAAAAGTCCTCACCATCAGACCGATAGGCAAGATCATGATATATAGAGAAAGGATTGAGACTGTCAACGACTTTTATCTTGGAGCCACAATCAGTACAGTTAGTACCCAAGTCAGGAGATCAGGAAATGTAGTGCACTGGGAAAGTCTTCAGTCCGGGACCTCTCCAAATTATTGAGGAGTAAAGATGTAAGTTTGAGGACAAAGGTGGAACTGATTCAGGCCATGGTCTTTTAGGGCACTTACTATGCATCTGAAAGCTGGACAATGAATAAGGATGAAAGAATTGATGCCTTTGTACTTTGGTGTTGGAGAAGTGAGCTGAATTTCCCATGGATGGCCAAAAGAACAAACAGGCCTTAAAGAAGGTTCAGTCAGAGTGCTCCTTGGAGGTAAATATGATGAAGCTTTGTCTCACATACTTTGGGCATGTTGCTAGAAAGGTTATTCCTTGGAGAGGGACACCATGTTTGGGAAGGTGGAGGAGCAGCTAAAGAGAGGAAGACCCTCAACCGGGTGGGTTGACACAGTAACTGCAGCAACAGATTTGAGTGTATCAGAGACTGTGAGGATGGCAAAGGATAGGACAGTATTCAGATCAGTTGGTGATAGGGTCGCTATGAGTCGTGCTCAGTGGCACTAACACACACCACCACCACCACCACTGGGTTTCTAAGGCTGGAAATGCTTTCTAGGAAGAGACTGTTCCTCTTTTACCCCTTGGATTGGCTGGTAGATATGAACTGCTGACCTTGTGGGGAGAAGCAGGACATGCAATGCTCTACACCAGCAGAGCTTCTTAATGCTGAGTGTTTAGAAAGTATGTTGAGATTGCTTATTGTTAACCTGTAAAACACCTTTCTGAGTCTCAGGAAAGGCAAGCTGAACTACATACATATGATTGTTCCTGATAATTAATTCAGCAACAAGATGAAGATTAAAACTCAGCACTCCTAGTTCCCAAGTCTGTGCTTAGTGCAAATAAATAACGCAGCCACCTCAGCCCAGCTCTGGCTTCAAATTGCTTTATGTGCCTGGCCTGACATTTTGCTAGTTGTCCTTGGACAGAAATATAAGTAATATATCATGTTGTCCTCGTGTCTTTGAAGGGGCTACAGGGATTTGTATCATGGAGAGACTGCAGCCATAATAGCAAAAGCTTGTCCACTCATGACCTTGCTTTCTCTAAACTACTCTATTAATTTCTCAGGTGGTGCTGTCCTTGATGTTTCCTGCTAAAACTGGGTCAGATTCAGACATCAACCATGCAGAGCCCAACGGCACTGTTAGGGGGACAGCCTCCTGCTCATTTAGAAGTCTCACTTCCTCCCTCACATCTCATTATCACCACCTCTGATTCTGCAAGTACCATCAGCCCAACAATACTGCCACCACCCCTTCCGTTGGCCAGGCATGAAATCTAGTAATAGAAGAAGACTTTTATTTCTATATTAAAAACGAAATATAAATTTCCCCCATCTGGGGAGGGGCTCTGTTTCTGACAGGGCCTGTAAGAATCGGGTCTCACATCCTTTTCTGAGAGAATGTTTCAACTGAAGGGTTGAGTCCCATTACGACTGAGGATAGACAGAAGGGGTGGACACCAGGAACAGACATACTGAAATCAGACTTTGCTCACTTAAGAATTATCCAGGTCCCCCCCCCACGCCCCCATTTCACTGAATTAATCCCCACATTTCAATTCAACAGCAACCTGGTTTTAGTTTCCCTCTATTTGTGCCAGTGCTGAGTTCACAAAGAGCAGCAGACTCGGCAGCTAGGGGGTTCCCTTTATGTGCAGTCACTGTTGTGACAGTTCAGTAAAATCAGGAGCTAGAGACTCATATGACCCTCTCTTCATGCGTATCTAAACTCAGCCTATAAAGGCTCAGGGATCAGGGTCCTGTACAACCCCAAAGGGGCCCAAATGGAACAGTGCTTAAATCACTCCACTGCTCACCAGAAGCTCAGCAGCTCAACTCACCAGCTACTCACTTTTCAGGAGAAAGATGAACTAGTCTGCCTCATAAAGATTTACAGCCTTTAAAATTCTGTGATAGGGCAGTTCTGCTGTGCCCTTCAGGGTCACTGTGAATTGGAATCAACCAGACAGCAGTGGGCTGGGGTTGGCATAATCCCAAATTGGCCATAGATTTTCATGAAAGCCCAAGCTGTCTGATAAGGAGCTCCTTATCTGACAATAATCATAACTTTCTGTATGTGAACGGAGCTTTATAGTTTCACAAAGTGCTCTCAAGTGCCTTGTGTCATACTGACTTGCATGAAATAGGCATTATATTTAACTATTTATTTTAATCAGAATTGTTGCTTTCTCAGTTTAATATTTGACTGATAGCCCCAATTTTTGCTTCAATTTTTTATAACAGTAACCCCACTACCATGCACATATACACACACACATTTAAAAAATATTCCATTTTTTTATAACAGCAATCTCTTCACTTCTCTCTATTGTACACAGGGTTTTCGAAGGCGTGTTTTTTTGCAAGTGGATGGCCAATCTTTCTTCCTAGTCTGCCTCAATC